GGATCCTGGGGAGGAGGGAGGTTGCCCCTCCCGCCTGCAACTGGGGTGGAGGTGCTGCTAGCGTGGCTTGCCCTGGTCCCTTTCCTGCGTTCCCTCGGGCGGCGTCAGGCTCAGAGTCTGTGGGCATCATAGGGGATTCGGGCGCTGGGAGAGTGGAACGTACATCCGGAATAACAGTAGCGATATACATGGAACAATTAAGAGACGGATGGGAGGAGAAACAGGGAAATCACGCCAGGAGGAATAATCGGGAGAAGACGATGATAAGGATGAGGATGAGGACGAGGATGAGGATGATGATGATGATGCTGATGAGGATGATGATGGGGATGGCCATGCCAATGCTCATGATGATGAGGGTGGTGATGATGGCGATGGTAGTGATAGTGCTGATGTTGATGCTGGCGATGACGCATATGGCGATGGTGGTTGGTGATGCTGGCGACGCTGGTGCTGATGGTGGGTGATGGTGATGATGCTGAGGATGAACAGGATGATGATGAGGATGACGGTAAGATGACGATGAGGATGGAGATGGCGAGGAGGAGGAGGAGGACGAGGTGGGGGAGGATGAGGATGAGGAGGAGGAGGAGGAGGAGGAGGAGGAGGAGGAGGAGGAGGAGGAGGGGTAGGAGGAGGAGAAGGGGAGGAGGACGAGGATGAGGGTGAGGGCGAGGATGGTGAGCGTGAGGATGCGGATGAGGACTGGGATCAGGATGATGGTGCTGCTGATTGCGATGATGATGATGATGATGATGATGATGATGATGATGATGATGATGATGATGATGATGATGATGGCGATGAGGATGATGATGATGATGAGGATCATGCTGATGACGATGCTGATGGTGGTGGTGATGCTGATGTTAATGCGGCTGATGAAGATGACGATGATGATGAGGAGGATGCTGATGAAGACGATGTTGATGACGATGATGGTCCTGCTTCTGATGATAAGGATTGTGACGGTGATGATGGTGATGCTGCTGCTGATGATGATGAACGCGATGAAGCTGATGATCGTGATGCGATGATGATGCTGATGATGAGGATGAGTGGTGTCATGATGTGGCTGATGATGACGATGATGATGATTGTGGTGGTGGTGGCGTTGACGATGGTGGTGATAATGGGTGGTGAGGATGAGGCTAAAGATGATGATGATGATGATGATGATGATGATGATGATGATGATGATGATGATGATGATGATGATGATGATGATGATGATGATGATGATGATGATGATGATGATGATGATGATGATGATGATGATGATGATGCTGCTGCTGCTGCTGCTGATGATGATGATGATGATGATGATGATGATGATGATGATGATGATGATGAGGATGAGGGGGGGGAGCGGGAGGAGGAACGTAGAAACAAGAGTAGGAGGAGGAGAAGGAAGATGATGATGAGGAGGAGGAGGAGGAGGAGGAAGAGGAGGAGGCGCAGCTGCCAGAGGCTGCGGCCGCTATCGGTGACGGTCGTCCATGTCACAGCAGGCGCGGCATATTCTCGACGCCATTGGGGGGTGCGCGCGGGGTCCTCCACCGAAATTCCCAGTGGGACCGCCCGCGCGCGTCATCCACCACCCAGCACAGCATTTCGTGGCCCCTATAGGGGGCTCCGCCGAAGGTTCCAGTGGGACTGCCCGCATGCGTCATCCACCACTCAGTACCACGTTTCGAAGCCCCATTGGGAGCTCCACCGAAGGCCCTAGTGGGACCGCCCGCGTGCGTCTTCCACCGCCCAGTACAGCGTTTCGTGGCCCCATGGGGGGCTCCACCGAAAGCCCCAGTGGGACCGCCTGCATGCGTCATCCACCACCCAGCACAGCGTTTCGTGGCCCCTTAGGGAGCTGCACCGAAAGCCCCAGTGGGACCGCCCGCATGCGTCATCCACCACCTAGCACAACAATTCGTGGCCCCATAGGAAAAGCCCCACCGAAGGCTCCAGTGGGACCGCCAGCGTGCGTCACCCACCGCCCAGTATAGCATTTCGTGGCCCCATAGGGGGCTCCGCCGAAGGCCCCAGTGGGGCCGCCCGCGTGCGTCACCCACCGCCTAGCCGCTCTGCTCCGCGCAGCGGACGACCAGCGCGCGTCGCCGGGACCCCTTCGGGGCGACCAGCGCGCGTCGCGGGGGCTCCGTGCGGCGCCGCGCCCGCGGCCTCGGACGTTGGCGTGCGCGGGCAAAGAGGAAAAAACAACGGGAAGGAAACGGGTGCGATCCACGTGAGAGGCGCGCCGACATGTGCGTCGACATTTATGCGCGTAGACTCGCGCGCGCGCAGATTCATCCACAATCAGACTCACTCGCTCACCACCCTCTCGCACGCAGACCTATCGTCTTCGCTCGCGTTGTGCGCCCCGCTACGCATGTCGGCGCGCCCCTCTCGCGGTTCGTGGCCCCATGGGGGGCGCGGGCGAATGTGATATTCTTGACGCTTCGCGTGTCCCCGCCAGCCCGTCCAGGAACGATCAGCAGGGGGGTCGATGAATCAGGGGCGGCAGGACGCATGCAGTCGCGCGGCCGTCTTCGGGAAAACAATGCTCACAAAGAGCTTCCCGCATTGAAGTTTAAGATGAGAATCGGTGCAAGCTGCACTGGTGCTTCGATGAGGGGTGAGGAGTGTTTCGATGACCCGTAATGGCTGTTGCACAGATTTGTATCTTAAGCTCGCGTGCGTTTCGAGACTTGAAGCATTCTTGGGGCTCTCTTGGGGTTCTGTTGGGGCCCTCTTGGGGCCCTCCTGGAGCTCATTCTTGGGGCCCTCTTGAGGTCCTGCCAGAGCCTTCTTGGAGCCCTCTTGGGGCTCTTTTGGGGCGTCTTGGGGCCCTCTTGGGGCTCTTTCGGGGGTCTGGGGGCCTTCTCGGGGCTCTTGTGGGATGCCTTGGGGGCTTCTTGGGGCCGTCTTGGACCCTTTCGCTAAAAAAGGATGGGGGTGCTAATTCCCATCGCCCCCTCGGAGGCTCAACAATGCCGTCTTGGGCCCCCCTTGGGCCGCTCTTGAAGCGCTCTAGGGCGCTCTTTTGGCCGTCTTGGGGCCCTCTTGGCCCCCCTTGTGGGGCTAGATTTGGCCGTCTTGGGGCCGTCTTGAGGCCTCGAGAGCCCATCGGAGGCGAGAAAGCGAAAATGGCAAACCACATTGATTTCCTTAGGTGTTTGAATGATGTTGGCCTCTTGGGGGAGTCCTCGGAAGGCTCGGAGGGCACTTGAAACCGTATTGGGGCCGTCTTGAGGCCCCTGGGATGCGTGTCGGAGGCTAGCTTGACCCATCTGCCGCTATCTTGGGCCAT